GGAGAACAATTAAATCCTCTAACTGTCAAATCCACTTGACCACCTTGAGCCTTTATTTCATTTTCTTTGCTCCCCTTTGTTGCTTAAAATTTCTCAAAAAAGTCGCCTATATTCCCGTGTCTACAATTTTCTGTTCCGTTTTCTATGGAACATCTCTTCCTGTAACTCCACCAATAGGTCCTCTTGCCAAGATTACCAGTGTTGCTAAACTTAACGTTAATTCAGTATCTCACTGACAATTAGATCCTCCTTTCATCTTTGAAACTCTTTCTTCGTTTGACTTTGGAACACTACTCTCATGATTGGCTTCCTGTTGCCTTCTTGATCTTCTAAGTCGGGACCCCCAACTTGGACGTGTTCTCTTATATACTGGCAGGTACTTCTGAGGTGATCTCATCTAATCTCATGTCTTTAAATACCAGCTCCATGTTGATGACTCCTAAACTTAATATTCCCAGCACTTGTTGCTTCCCTGATCTTTAAGTTCATATAAGTATCAGCCATCAGCCTTTTCAGCAGCATTATTGGATGTTGAATAGGCATAGCAACGAAATTGCAGTATTGACTCCATCCCCCAAATAAAGTGGTGTCATCATTGTCTCGTCTCTGTCTCTCTTGCTCATGTATCAGCTCTACCTCCAAAATACACCCACCCTCTTCTTGCCAACTGTACGTCGACTTTACTATTTCCAGCAATTATTAACATTTGCCTGAAAAGTTGCAAAAAATTTCAAACTGATCTTCCTTCTTCTCCTTTACCCCTACAATGCATTTTCACCACACCAGCCAAAGTAATCCTTTAAATCACAAGTAGTATTATGACACACCTTGGCTAAGAACGCTTTCTGAATTTAGTACTTCAAAGACCAAAATTCTTTCCTCGACCTGTGAGGTCTACATGACCTGGTCCTGCTACTGTCTTTCTAATACTATCTCCTAACATTCAACCATCCTGTTCTCTTGGCTCCAGCCAGGATGGTGTTTTTGCTCTCCCCTGAGCATGGCAAATATCCTCCCACCTCAGGGCCTTTGCTCTTGCTGTTCCCTCTGCCTGGAACACTCTTCCCCTTCAGATATCTGCATGACTCGTTGTCGTATACCTTTAGGTCTCTGTTCATGTACGATTTCATCTGAGAGGCCTGATCTGTCTGCAGTAGAATCCACCACCATCTTTCTCTACCCCTAATTCTCCTTTCTTCATCATCATCCCTGTCATATTATATACTTCTTGTCCATCTTCTATTTTTATCTCCCCAGCTACATTCAGAACACAAATTCCATGAAATAAAAATTTTGTGGTTTTCGCTGCTATATCCTTAGATCTACAACAGTGTGTGGCACAGAATAGACAGCTGGGAATGTTGGTTAGATGTCTCTTATTTTGGTTTTCTGTCTCACCTGATACTGTTGGCTATGTCCTACTTGGAATGTACTCTTCTGTCTTTTGGGTTCTCCTATTTCTTTGATTACTGCTGGCACCTTCCAAGATTCCTCCTCCTTTTCTTGAAGGTTGAGCATTAATATCCCCCAAGCTGAGACCTCAGGCTTCTTTTCTCCTCATTCTCTACACTCTCTCTTGATTTCTGTCTAATCCATTGCTGTAACTAGCCTATATACAGGACCCAATGACTAACATGCAAAGTTCTGTCTTCATTTCAGACCTTCCTCCTGCATCTGGTCTGCCCAGCTGTCCCCCGCACGCTTCCAATTAAATCTCCTGCGGGAAGCTTACAGAGGTTTCTCTAGTGACAGCCTGAGGACTTCTCAAACTGATGCTTTACTCCTTGCCTTCCTTTTGAGCAAAAGGCCCCCAGGAATTGGACCTGTTTTTCTAATAATGATTTTAAATAATTAACAAACTACTTTTGTCAAACACTTTATATACATTTTTTTCTAATCCCTCCAATGAGTTTTTATAGTAGATTATTAACTTTGTCTTAAACATGAGAAAACTCAGTCTCAGTAACTTGCTTAAAGTTACAAAGCTTCTAATGTTTTATTGTAGTGACGCCATTGCATGATTTTGATTCCCTTCGATGATAAATAAAACCCTGTCTTTTCCATCAGGAAGAGTCTAGAACAAATTGAACAATCCAGGCAACAGAATGAGGTTTCTCTGCACCTCAAGAATGTACTGCATCTGGGGACAGTCAGTTCACTTGGCCTGTCCTGTTCAGAAGGCCAGGGAGGTTCCATCTTCGAGCAATACCCTTTGTCGCCTACACGGAGTTCAGTTTTAACCTGCCTAAAACTGATTTCTTAAATCCTTTTTCCACAAGTCACCTAAAAATCAGTCCCAATGCCCCTTTCTCCCCCGTTTTGGTCGCAGCAGGTGTGTTTTTAATGCTTACAAAGAAGTAGGTATAATTTCAGAATCTGGCAACCTTCTTACACGAAGACAGAAGCAAGCTCGAGGTTAGTACTAGTGGATTTGATGCATGCCATTTTGCTGCACCTCTAACAGAACAGCCGGCTTTAGGCTTTAGCTTTTTTCACTGGATTAAATCAGGTGGAGCATATGCAGGCTCTCACACAGCAGCAGCTGCTGAGTCTATCCAGAAAATTGCTGTGCCAGCAGCGATTTCCCTGTGGCTCTCGCATTTAATTGAATCAGAACCAGCAGGTGACTGGTGCCATGACAAGGGAATCACAGACACTCTCTGAGCCTGTCACCCTGTGATGGAGCTTAATATACAGCCTCTTAGTGAAGCGCTGAATTCTGCTTATGGGTAGGGCACGCAGAGCCTTTCCTGTGATTTATTTTTTTAATGTGCTGGAGAGGCGTAACTTTAAAACCACTATTTTTAGATATTACACAATTAAGATGGAGAATAATGAGGCAACTGATTTATTTTGTAAAATAATTATGTATCTTACAACCCATTATTACTAAAAAAAAACAAACAAAACTTAACATTCTGTATTTTAGTCCTGATTTATGTAACTAACCAGATATATTTACATAAACACATATTCTCTAAAGTTTTTTAAACTAAAATATGTTGCAACTGAGCAGATGCAGCTCAATCAAGTGGAACATTAAACTAAATCTTAATCATAATAATTACTGATTTTACATTTTCACTTTCAAGGCATTTTTAATTTGTCTCAGAAAGGGTCAATCAATAGTTATTATGTAATATATAGTATATATTAAAAATCAGATTCCCAAATAAACAAGTCGAAGGTATTGCTTAAAGTCTCATTCCTACCATTGATTGCTGTCTAACATATTTTAGTAATAGAAAACCTTTAGAGAACATGTTTTTATATAAATATATAAGGTTAGTTACATAAATGACAAACAGAGATAAGGAAGTGGGTTGGAGATCAAGAAATAGTTTTTCCTCCCAACATATCATTGGTTTATTCTGTTCACAATCTCTGTGAATAACATATGTGTAGCTGTCAGGAAATGGTTACAACTATAGAGAATGAAGGAATCAGTATATACAAAATGGTAATTAGCATTAATTAAGGAAAAGATAAGCATTGCTATTAATGTTCCATTAAGCCTCAAGCAACAGAAGAGCAGTAGTTTCCACCTGACCTTGGATTTTAAAGAAAGTGTAGGCAAGGTAAATGTCTGCTCGGAATGAGGTCTTCCCAGACCATTCAAGGGTGGTATGCATTAAAAGAGACACATTTCAATTTGTAACGCAGTGACTCTATTTTTATTCCATATACGTACAGTGACTAGTGGAGCAACTCAAACTTCGAAGGGAGGGAAATTGAGAACCATCTCTGTGCAAATGCTGCAAAGGTTGATACATACATAGGTAAATGGCAGGCAGACCAAAGTTTACACTAAGATTTTCTTTTATGCTACTTAATGAGAACACATTTTTTTTTTAGTTCAGAGTCCTTTACAATATAACAAAGAGTTGACAAAAATTGTAAACAATACTTAAGAAACATTATTAAAGGAAAAAACTATTAATGGGCAAAAGAATGCAGGCATTTTACTGAAATCAAAAGACAATAGATTCATAGAGAAAAAGAATTTTAATGTAGTTCAGGGTTTCTTTAAAGTTTTAATGATCATGAAGCATTAGTAGCTAAGCCCAAGGTGGTAGGTGGAGAGAGCATAGCACCAATTAATATCAGTCTATAACCCCCAAAACTTACTCTGGTTGTCAAAAAAACTCATGTGCTCAGCTAATGATTACCACAGCACTGTGTTCGTCTAAAACTTTCATTTATGTTGTCTGCTAGCTTAAGGCTTACACCTTTGCTCTTAATAAAAGAAAAAAGGCTACTTAACTAAATCTCCTAATCATTAAAAACAATTGGTTTTATAGCCACTTTCAAGAAAGTTCCCCTCAGAGAAAGTTACAAAAAAAAAAAAAAAAAAAAAAAACTTTGATGATTGTGAGGCTTAATCAGACATTGTAGAGTCAACAAATGGTAAGAAAAAAAATCCCAATAAAACGTTTCTAAAAATTGTAAATTAGTTTGATAGAGTCTGAGTTGAATGTTTGTAGTGATTTTGGACATCTGCCAGTGTTAAATCGGATCCAGTTGGTGTGGACTGAAGGATTCTGGCAGCAAATCAAGACCAAAAATCTGACCAAATAATGTCTTTTTGAGTAAGTGACAGCTAGAATCTGTTCTCTGGCATTACTGCTGTGAGTAAATGGGCAGATATTTCATTTAAACATCTAAGTGTGAAAAAAAAGTTGTCATTTACATGTCCTAAAGAATCCAACAGAAAAAAATTACATATTTTTCAAGGTCTATTGTTTTTTAATAAAGTTTGCCATTCTAGAAAAAAATCATCAAAAAATAATGGAGAATGTATCCATTTTTTTAAAAACGAAGCTTGCAGTTCCATATGCATGTATGTGTAACACATACATATATATATACACACACACACACACATAGTTGTTTATATATATATATATATATGTCTTTGTTACATAGGGACAGAAATATTAACAATGATATACATATATATATATATATATATATATATATATATCATTATTAATTTTCAGGAAAAGGAAAACGACTGAAGCAAGCCAAGGAGGAAGCAATGGTAGAAACTGACCAGTATAGAATGCAGAGAGATAAGGAGTTTCGACTAAAACAATCTAAGGTGAGAAAGAAAGTCAGCAGTTTCTTATGCAGAATAGGTAAGACCTTCATATTCATAAGGTGTAATATAGACTATAGAGAGAAAAACCATGCTGCAATTGAGCAGATACAGTTCAATCAAGCTGAGTACCAAACTAAATCTTAATCATAATAATTAATGTTTTTACATGTTCACGTTCAAGGCATTTTTAGTTTGTCTCATAAAGGGTCAATCAATCATTATTATATAAAATATAGTATATATTAAAAACCATATTTCCAAATATAAGGGTTGAAGGGATTGCTTAAAGTCTCCTTCCTACCACTGATGGTTGACTAACACATTTTAGCACACAAAAGCTTTAGAGAACATGTTTTTATATAAATATATATGGTTAGTTACATAAATAACTAACATTTCCAAGATTTACAAATGACCAAAGTAGATATTGTTACAAATTGCTGAAAAGCCTTCTGGTATTTTCTGATTATCTTTGCAACTGGCTGACTCATTCAATAAATCTTCCTTTTAGAGATAAACAAATGTTTTTTTCCTACACTGGCATATTTTTAAATATCTGCAGTTTACTGTAAATTATAAATGCACGAAATCTTTGGAGCCAACATCCTCCCTTCCATGTTGCAACATGGTTTAAAAGAAAGTACTCAGCTCCATGTGTCATAACTAAATTGTATATGATATTTTATTTTGTCCTCGGTAAAAACATACAGAAAGCTCTGTGCAAAAGTCTGACTTTGCAAATAGATTATAAGCAATTTGGAAATCCTCTTTATTTACAACTTTCATTTTAGTGCTGATGGATAAAAAGATCATGTAGGATTAAGTAAATAGGACCACATGATCATAAAATCTTTCTCATCAAATAAAAAAAAAAAAGTCCTTTATGGAATAAAGTAGAACACTCAGCAAAAATAAATATTTTTATCAATGTTTGAAAATAACACGATTGGCCTTTGGCTATTTCTCTCACCACATTCCTACCACCCTAGTCTCTATTAGTTCTGTTCTAGCCATATTTGCCTTCTGTATTTCCTCAAGAAGACAGAACATGCCCCTACCACAGGGCCCTGCCATGTACCATTCTCACACTCTGCATTTCTTTTCTTCAGATACAATCATGTTTCTTTGATCTCTGCTCAATTGTTAGTGCCTCTTCCTGATCACTTCATCTAAAATTGTGTCTGTCATAAATGCACACCTATTGTAGCCCATTGCTTTTCCTCATAATACTTAGCATTATCTCACATAATTTATATTTACTTTTTTTTTTCATATTGCCTATCTTTCCTTCTGGGACTTTAAACACCAAATGAATCATTTATTTGTTTTTTTCTCTGTTTTCCTAGATATTAGTGCTTGCCACACAGTAAACATGCAATAAATATTTGTTAAAAGAATAACTTTTTTTTTTTTTTTTTGCTTTTTTCCTTATTGAATCCTGTCCTAACTGTGATTTATTAGGACCTGAGAAAACAACCATTCTTAACATTATCCCACTTTGATTATCTTTTTTTTTTTTTTTTTTTTTTTTTTTGAGACGGAGTTTCGCTCTTGTTACCCAGGCTGGAGTGCAATGGTGCAATCTCGGCTCACCGCAACCTCCGCCTCCTGAGTTCAGGCAATTCTCCTGTCTCAACCTCCTGAGTAGCTGGGATTACAGGCACGCACCACCATGCCCAGCTAACTTTTTGTATTTTTAGTAGAGACGGGGTTTCACCATGTTGACCAGGATGGTCTCGATCTCTTGACCTCGTGATCCACCCACCTCGGCCTCCCAAAGTGCTGGGATTACAGGCTTGAGCCACCGTGCCCGGCCCTGATTATCTTATATAAGATATTTCTGATATAATTATTTCCATTTTTTAAGTAATGACAAAACTGATTATAATTTCAGAAAGTGCTTGTGTTAAATCTCTTCAAAAATTATTTCTCCAGAAGCATCTTACCAGATATATATCTTGTTCAGGTTATTTGTTCTCTGCTTTGGTTAATAATTAAATAATTAGAACTCCTCATAGCTCTCATAATTAGCAGTCCAAGCCAATTTTACAGCTACTTGATCAAAAGCTCACATAGAAAGGTCAGCATATTTAAGCCTCGTCTATTTTAAGCATATTGTAAAACCATTAGCACAGATCTTCTTTCCTTGGCATGACCTCCATATGTCAGGCATATTGCTATTTCACTTAAATCTCATCTCATTAACCCAGGGCAATTAGGAGTTTGGGAGGAGACCCAAAAAACCAGCTTCCTGTCTGCTGTGGGTGTTGTATCTTGATGTTACTGTTTTGTTGCTTTTTAGCTCTTGTTAATACATGTACTTTTTCAAGCGCCTGACTTCTCACCAGAAGCAGGTATCCCAATGTGGGCTGTTCATGAGCAAATATTGTTTCATCAAAAATCTATTTATCCCTTCCTTATTGCTATCCAAGATAACATCTTCTACTGAAGAAGATATTACATTGCTAAAAAGAAATCTGGACTACAGTAGAAAAATTAAATCTGTTGTTAATATAAGTAAAAATCAGAAAAATCATGAATCTAAACAGAGAACCTGAAAATGGTTTCCTTGGGCACACTGAAGACCTTTATATCTTGACTCTTTCTTCCTGAATTTATATTCCAAAAGCATTTTATTTCCTGAAAGCAATCACAAATTGAGATCATAAAACTGTGTTTTTCATATGACAGAAGGATCTGAACATTTAAACAACTTACAAAGAAACATATTGAATGTTTAAATATTTTCCATCACCATCAGTCATTATACTGTTAAGCTATATGTCAGTTTCAAAGTTGTCATTTTGAAAATTAATATGGAGAAGTTCTCACATGTCACCCTTAGTCCAAACGTATCATTACCTGTTACAGAATTATCAATTACTAATTTATACATTGTCAGAAACATTCAGGTAACAGGCTTCCACCAACATGGGCAACAGAACACAGGTAATGAGTTTTCTGTAATATCAAGAGATCTGATCATTCCACTCAACACAAAAATGTGTATTGAGCATCTACTAAGTGCCACACAGTGTTTAAGGCACTTGTAATACATCAAGGAACAAGTTGGCACTGATTCTTGCCTTCGTGTCACTTCCATTCCTTCACTGAAACTCCTACATGGGTTAAATCAATACTCTGCCTGCAGATACCAAGATAAGGAATTCTTCCCCAGGAAAACCATTTAAAATAGTGTATGACTTGTCATTGTTATAGTATTACATAGGAAACACTGTAGAAACTCAAAATTACTGGGTATCAAATAAACTCAGAAATAATATTTTGTTTATGCCGAATGAAACAGGATTGTGGGGGTATTGCAACGGTATTACAATGTTTCTGAAAATACAGAACAGATTGGAAAAGTATGAAAAGTACGAGTAGGACAATCAGTGAAAATTATAATCACTAACACATACGGATTACTTGTTCAAAGTTAAACTTCTTTTTTTTGGAAACAAAATCTTGCTCTGTTGCCCAGGCTGGAATGCAGTGGCACAATCTTGGCTCACTGAGACCTCCACCTCCCGGGTTCAAGTGATTCTCCTGCCTCAGCCTCCCAAGTAGCTGGGATCACAAGCATGAGCCACCTCGCCCAGCTAATTTTTGTATTTTTAGTAGAGACTGGGTTTCACCATGTTGGCCAGGATGGTCTCAATCTCCTGACCTCATGATCTGCCCACTTCAGCCTCCAAAAGTTCTGGGATTACAGGCTTGAGCCACCAGAGAGTTAAACTTCTGTGCCACGTGTCATTTTTATAAGTCTCTCTGGAAAATGATTGTGGTGTCTCGGCAAGCCACATTAAGAATTCAACTAATGTTAACAGCTGCCATCGATTGCCGCACTGTCCAAAATGGTGACCACTTTACATGTGGCTACTAAGCACTTGAAGTGTAGCTAGTCCCAGTCAAGATGTGCTTCAAGTGTCAAATACCAGATCCTAAAGTCTTAGTATGAAATAAAAGAATGTCATAATGTTTACATTGCTTGTATGTTAAAATATGAATATTAGGTTAAATATAATATATTAAAATAACTATAACTATTTCTTTTACTTTTTTTTTTTTTTTTTTTTTTTTTGAGACGGAGTTTCGCTCTTGTTACCCAGGCTGGAGTGCAATGGTGCGATCTCGGCTCACGCAACCTCCGCCTCCTGGGTTCAGGCAATTCTCCTGCCTCAGCCTCCTGAGTAGCTGGGATTACAGGCACGTGCCACCATGCCCAGCTAATTTTTTGTATTTTTAGTAGAGACGAGGTTTCACCATGTTGACCAGGATGGTCTCAATCTCTTGACCTCGTGATCCACCCGCCTCGGCCTCCCAAAGTGCTGGGATTACGGGCTTGAGCCACTGCGCCCGGCCAGGCTCTTTTACATTTTTAATGTGGTTTCTAGAAAATTTATAATTATATATATATGAGCTGCCTTTGCGGCTCATATTACACTTCTGTTAGATGCAACCACTCTGCACACTGACCACTGAATCTGGTTTGCATTTTACAGTATCTTATCAAATGGCATATTATCCCTATTAAGAAAAAAATAGAGAACCTAAGGTTGAGATTAACTTTTCCAAAGTCATTCAGAATGGTTACACTAAACTAGCTAATGACAGCTATTTTTAATACTGTCCCAAAGAAAAGTAGGTAATAGTTTCACAACAGTTTCCTTTTAATTTTTTGCCACTAGAAGACATTGAATTTAGAGAAAATCTTTTTTTCTTTTTTTTAAGTTTGGTAGAATCCCACTTAAGGTACTAAATTTAGAAGAAAAATTTTGAGCTTGGTAGAACCATTTCAATACGTAGTTCTCTTCTATTTTAAAATTTCTTCTTAGCAAGGGAAATTTGATCCATATGTTTCTGCTTCTTGTATACTCACTTATCAAAATGTTATTCTGCGAAAGTTATTTGATGGCTTAGAAGCTGCAACTTCTCAAAATTATTTTCTTTGAACTGAGAAGACCCTGTTGCCTGGACTGTAAACAGAAAAGAACTTGAACCCAAGAGCCCCAAAGGCATTTGATTTCAAGCCTAGGACTCAAAAAGATCATGCAGATTTTAGAATTTAGAATAGTCTAACAACCCTGAAGTAGAAGTCAGTCATTAGCAGAGTCTCTTGGATTAAATTAAATGCACAATTTTCCTCAAGACTCAGAAGGAAAAAGCAAACAAACATAAAACAGTCTTCTTGCCGTTAAAATGCCATGTTTAAGAAAGGCTGAATTTACAAAGGTGATACATTAGGAGTTGATTGTTTGCTTTAATAAAGGCTAACTTTCAAAGTGTTTCACTGCAGAATTCCTTTAAATTGTTAATTCCCCTGATGAAATGATATTTTGATCAAATCATTTCTGGATAAAGAAGCTAAGAGGAAAGAGCTTATAATGGAAAAGACTGAGAATCACTGCCAATTAAAGAGCAACTAGCAAGATATATTACACTATATCTAAAATTATAATGTAACTAAATGAACAAGCATACTCAATTTGAAAGAAATACAACTTACACTAAAATTTTCATGATAATATCTATTACCCCAAAAAATCCACTTGTATGGCCAAGCACAGTGACTCATGCCTGTAATTAGGGAGGCCAAGGCACTTTGGGAGGCCAAGGCAGGAGGATCACGAGGTCAGAAGTTCAAGACCTGCCCGGCCAACATAGTGAAACCCCGTCTCTACTAAAAATACAAAATTAGCCAGGTGTGGTGGCACGCGCCTGTAGTCCCAACTACTTGGGAATCTGAGGGGAGAATTACTTGAATCCCCTGGGTGACACAGTAAGACTTTGTCTCAAAAAAAAAAAAAAAAAAAGAGGAAATACACTTATGAATATAAAAGTATCTTATAGGGCATATTGTGACTGTCTTCCTGATAAACAAGACATGGTCAGTTCAGATAATGTATTTTAAAAATAGAAAAACCAGTTATTCACTCAAAAAAACAGCGAAGGTGGGTTTAATGGTATCTTTCAACTACATTTTCCAGACTTATAATTCAGAAAGTAAATAATGGGAAAGATATGGAAACTGTTATAAACGCATGAAAAATACAATGGAAAAGAACTTCTGGGCATCGTTTCATGATTATAAATGTGTATTCAATTTGTACCATGTGGAGGTCGGTTAAAAGTGAAAGTAATCTGCTATGACCAGCTTGAATATTTTATGAAAGTTCAACCTTCCCACTCAGGGCATTGATGATCTTGTCTGTTCTCTGAAAAAAAATTCTAGATAAGGAGTGCATAATTGTGCACCATAGGAAAATCATCAGTAAACAGGCTAAGACAAATTTAACTTGTAAAACAATAAGTTGCATTACGATGTTGTGAATTCTCTGTTTTGTTTTGGGAGATAATGGGCTCTCAGAGTAATCTCTCAGATGAAATAGAAGAACAAACACTAGGGAAGATACAAGAACTTAATGGACACTATAATAAATGTATGGAAAGTGTGATGAAACAGCTCGACCATGGTCTGTGACATGAAACCAGAAATCCATGTGAACTACAGAGCCATCAAGTAAATGTACATCATATTTTTCGAGGAAAAAAAAAGGTGTGTGAGTGCCACCTAGTTGCTTATGGCTTCATGTTTTTCTATTAAGAAATTTGAAATGTAAATCTTAAATTTACATTTACAGAAAATGTGACATAACTCATGCTTTGGCATTGCATTAAACAAAACAAAACACAACTGTTGCTATATCTTTCTAGTAATAATGATGACCTTATAATTTAACTTGGAGTAAGTCAAGAATGCATAAGAGTAACATGTTTTTTAACACTTGCGAGAAAAACCTGGTCATGACAGGTTTTTAGTGGGTGTCAGGTTTTTTTATTTCTTCTCCTTTTCATCGATTTGAAAACACACTCTTAATTGTGTTAAAAGATAATTTGCTAAAAGTTAATCTTTAAGCAGGATATGCTTATGACTCTCCAACAGACCTAAAAATGAACATGTCAAAGGTTTTATTTAATTCAGTAATCAATGAGGAAACCAGTAAGACAGAGAGACAGAAATAAAGAATTATGGGTTATATAACCATTTTTAAACACAGATGGGTTTTATAATCATTTTGTCTGACCTCAACTAAACGGATATTATTTTTAGGAGAAAAAAGTAAATGATAAATAAGCTGATAATAGATTTTGGAGCTTTGAAAAAAAGAAAAAAAAAAGATATACAAAGAAAACGTCCAGGAGATATAGTAAGTTACTGTACCACTAGCCCAGTCTCCTAGTTACAGCTAAGCTAAATTCTTGTTAAATACTAGGTACTTTGTTAGTGCAATGCATCAATTACCTCAGTCCTACTGTGAGAGCCGTATTAGTGCTCTTCTTTTACAAAATGAGAGACAAAGACAAAGGAGCTAGCTGGAGATGCCTGCATAACAGTGACAGCCCAGGGCTTCAAACTGGGCAGTGCGACTCCAGTCTTCACACTCTTCATTTCTTTCCCAACTACTTACCCGCACAGTTCCTATATTTGTATTAGTAAGAACATGGGTGCTATAAAGTCTTGGATTTTCAAGTAACATATGCAGAAAAATTTTAATTCCAGTCTAAAGAAAACTTAATGGCTGGGCGCGGTGGCTCACGCCTGTAATTCCAGCACTTTGGGAGGCCAAGGTGGGCAGACCACGAGGTCAAGAGATCGAGACCAACCTGGCCAATATGGTGAAACTTCAACTCTACTAAAAATACAAAAATTAGCTGGGCATGGTGGCATGCGCCTGTAGTCCCAGCTACCTGGGAGGCTGAGGCAGGAGAACTGCTTGAACCCAGGAGGTGGAAGTTGCAGTGAGCCGAGATCACACCACAGCACTCCAGCCTGGAGCCTGGCAACAGAGCAAGACTCTGTCTCAAAAAAAAAAAAAAAAAAGTTAATTATTGTTACCAAACTATTCACCTAATCTTTAATTATATGAATCTTTGATTATATGTATAGTTTGGCAACAATAATTAATTGTTGTTTAGACTGGAATTAAAATTATAAACTGAAATGATTTTAACTGATTATTGTTTTAGATCAGTGGTCCCCAACCTTTTAAGCACTGGGGATGAGTTTCATGGCAGACAATTTTTCCAAGGATAGAGGGGTAGCAGGGCAGAATGATTTTGGGATGAAATTCTTCCACCTCAGATCATCAGGGATTCGATTCTCATAATGCACATGCAAACTAAATCCCTCACATGTACAGTTCATAACAGGATTCGTGCTCCAGTGACAATCTAATGCCACTGCTGGTCTGACAGAAGCCCAAGCTCAGGTGGCAATGCTTGCTCAACTACCACCACCTCGTGCTGTGAGGTCCAGTTCTTGACAGGCCACGAACAGGTATCGGTCTGTGCCGCAGGCATTGGGGACCTTGTTTTAAATTACTAGTATCATTTTTTCTTTCTAGGAGAAAAAGTTAAAATTTTACCACATATCTTAGTATCTCAGAAATAGTCAATTTTACATTCATGTCTGGTAAATGGAGGAAAATTTGAATTCTATTTGTTTTTCCATTTTCTCAACTTTTGGGGCAAGGAAAATGAAACCAGTTTATTGGTTTTATGTCATATTTTTCCCTATTTACTAGAATGAAAATTGATTCCCAATTAAAGAACAGAAAGATACGAAACAGTCTTAGGAACATTGTTTTCCATTTTTTGAGGGAGTGGCAGGGAAGGCATCAATTAAAGTTGTCTCCCTGACGTTACGACAGCATTGGAGGGTTTCCACTCCACACAGAATTGAAGAACTCAATCACTGTATCCTGCAGAGTTTAGATGTATAAAATAATGAGTGAAATTGCACATTTGGAGAGTTATCATGTGAAAAATTCATTCTGGAAAACACAGCATTGTGATTTGCCTTATATCATAAAATAGTTTTCTCATGAAAACCATCAAGATGTCAGTTTTCTGGATGTGAAAGCTTTTCTCCGGATATAGAGCACTCGAGTTAATAATAAATTCCTGAGTCTGCACAAAAGAAAGAATAATCTTTTAGGCCCTAAGTACTATAGAAACACATTAAAGTGAGTAGAGGGTTTTCTCAGAAGTAAAATGGTTCCAGGCCTAGAAGAAGAAGAGGAGAGTTGGGTCTCAGCACACAGTGCCTCCGTCCTGCTAGCGTCACAGGCTTCCTGTGTCCTACTGGCAATTCACTCAACCTCTCTAGGCCTAAGATTTTTTTAGAGCTTTAATCTGCAAAACGATGTTGAAATAAATGATTTCTACAGGTCCTTTAACACTTATTTTTACCTACTAAGAAGAATTTTTCAAAGGCAGTATTTATTACTTTTAGTTTTTTCATTCACTACTGTAGTATTTGTCAATTTCTCAACGATCTCATGTCTATTCTAAATACTCTATTGTTAAGAGTACGTGCTATTGCTGTCCCCAGTCTCCTAGATTCTGTGTAGTTTGCATATTTTTATATTCAAATATGGTTTCACATCTTTGCCTAACTGAATGAGTCATTTTCCAAGAACTCTCACACCCTCACAGATGGTAGAGCTGCCAGGTTTTACTTTATTTACATATGAAAAGGTTTTATGTATTTCAGAGCTAGCTCACTTATCTATGAGAGCTTTCTCAGTCACATAAAAAAGTTTACTTTTTTGTACATGTACTTATACTAAAAGGCTTTTTCTGCTCCTATAGATTCCCAAACAGAAATGTAATAACCTTAGCATGTTTTTAATTGTCCTGTACCCTTGTTTTGATCCTTTGCACAATCAGACACTACAATATGAAAAATTATTTCATTGAATTCTTACTCATTTCCATTGCACCTAAAAACAAAACCACGCAATTTACAGACTTGAAAGGAATACAAGGATTTTGGGTTTTATTCCCTGTATTAGCACACAAATACACACGAAGTCAAGAATTGTCATCAGTGCCTCACAGCCATTACTTTGTAGATGGATAGAGCCAGTAGAAGAGAGTTGGCCAGAGTGTGCGGAAAGCAACCATCTTTGAAATACCCCAGCTGAGGCTATTCTAGGCCTGGCCAACCCCCAACATGTCAGAGCCCAGCCTAAATCAGCACTGTCACATTACCTGCCGATGACCACAAATACAGGTGTGAGCAAAGAGGACATCGTATGAGCCACCTGGAGAACTCATAGACTCATGAGCACACATAAACATTTCAAGCCACTGAGTTTTAGGGTGATGCATTATGAAGCAATAGCTAACTGCTATACAGATTGAATATTGCCTTAAAAAGGAGAGGGTGACCACCTGTCTTGAAAGCTGCCAAGAGTTCAAGTAAAATAAGACAGAGAGGTGACTGTTAGATTTACATATGTGGAGTAGGAGTTTGAGGAGAGAAAGTGTGGTGAAAAAGCAAGAGAAAGCAGTTATAGATAATGATACAGCTATAAAAATGATCAGAGAAATGGGGCTGCAGCTTGAGAGAGATGTGTGTCAAGCATGTGTTTCTTGTCTGGACTAGAAATGTTACAGCATATTCATATGCTGATTGAAATTCCTCTGGAGGAGAGATAATTTCTATGAAGAAGAGAGAGGGGAACTATTGTAGAAGCAAAGTCCTTGAGAAGGCAGGAAACATAGAATTCAGATCCCAAGCAGAAGAGTTAGCCTTCAACACAAGCAGAGACACATTCACAGGGAGATGACCATGGGCATGGACTGATACAAGTAGGTACATAGATCTCGTGGTAGAAAGATGAGAAAGTCCTGTCTTATTATTGCAATTGTCAAACTCAATTCAGGGATAATGATCAGTTGAGAATGAGGAGTAATTTAAGGGGAGAAGGGAAAGGGTAAAATGATCATTTTAGAGGGTAAGATTGCGATGCTAGGGAATTGTAATAGGATTACCAAGCAGCATTGAATGTCTAAATGAGATTTATTATCATACTTTTAAAATGCGATTAAGTCAGTTGTGTGCTTGTCTCTGGTCATAGTGAGTTGCCCAGTTGCAGGAAGAGAGTAGGCAGGTAGTCTGACTTCACCTCTAAACTCATCATCAAAGCCCTGAGATCAGCTCCCTTGTCCTGTGCCTTTTAACTCTAAAGTTGAACTGAAATAATTCTTCTTGAAAGGCTACTATGTACCTAAACTTAAAGAAAAAGAAGTTATTGGAAATAAAGCACTTAAAAGAAAGAGAGCAATCTAAGCATAGAGTTCATTACAAAAATAATGATTCTATTTTTTCAACTTGAAGAAATATAACTGCTGATAACTGTATGCTTCTATTTTCTGTTTTTCCATCTCAGCTCTCTTGGAACTGCCTAATATTGGCAATGCAAGGAGTTACTAGTGTAGGGAGTTTGCTTACTTTCAAGAGTCACCTGAAAAAGCTACTTATCAATGACATAAATGACTGGAGGACCTTGTGTCCCATGCAGTGTTAATTAACCATTTTCTCACATATTCAGCCATACTTGAATTCTGTGATCTCACGCATTTGAGATTGGGAGTAGAAATACAGGCATGGCTATTACTGAAAGTGACAAGTCCTGTATTTTTACTCCTTCCACTTCTGGTAACCCAGCTCCTCAATTGCAGTTTAAGAAAAGGCACAGTTTGAGTGCACTGGGGTTCTCCACGTCATCAAATACACTAAACTCCTGCAACAGGTAATGTGAACATAAAGAATATTTAACAGTGTGATTAAACACATAGTTGAACACAGTAATTAAGATCACCATCCCTGTGCCTAGGCTATTT